CGACGACGACGACGACGACGACGACGACGACGACGACGACGACGACGACGATGACGATGTCGAAGAGGAGAAGAAGCGATGGCGGCAACCGCCTCCGAAATGTCCGCCGACACGAATCTCTAATCTCGCTCCGCTCCGTAAACGACCGAGCTAATGACAGACAGGAAACGACGTTTAATTAAAGTACGCACTTCCGGTAGGAACGTTTTCACGAGACCGCGTCGCTGACCACCGCCGCGCTCCAACTAGCCGTTGCGTAATTCCGAACCGGAGATAAAGGAACGAATTATCGCACCGTGATGTTCCCACGTTATCCTCCATGTTCGATTTGCAGCAGTTTTATGCGGTATATTTTAGAATGTCGAAAGGAATATAGGGTGTACGGAGGGTAGGTTGGCGGGGAGGCAGTTGATACGAAATTAATATACACCGGCGATGCGAGTCGTGGTAGCCCAGCTCGAAAATTTGATGCCAATTACGTTTGATGGCACTTTAATGAGGTTGCTCAGGAATGCGATGTTTCCTTGGCGCGATAAGCTCGTTCAGTGGTCACTTCGTTTTGGTTTTTTGGGTGGCTTGGCCGCTCGGTTGTTTCGTTGAAGGAAGTAGGAGTTAATTGAAGAACCGAAGTTTTGGTGGGCTAAGTTCGTGTACTCGAGGAACTTGCAGTTTCAATTTTCTGGAGATTTATTTGCTTTTTAAACCTAATATATCGTTAATGTCATGTATAAAAGATGAGGATACGTTTTGGAAATTCATCTTCGAAACGAATCGTTATTTGAAAAAGTCGTGTTATTTATTTCTTAACGCGTAACAAGTTGTTGATAGAAAAATTGCGTGTGTTAGAAACAGTATTATTTGAATTTTGTATAATTGTATAGAGTATCTTTTACAATACAATTTTACTGGTCTTAATGCAAATAACGATCGATATAATAAGATATTAACCTGCTCTACGCATTATGCTCGTTCTTCTCTAAAATTCCACCCTCATCATGCACTGACCAACCCTAAGGATAGTTACCCCTGCACATGTTCGAACGTACACACTTGTAGTCGTCATTCAGCCACTCTGACGCACGCACGTATTCTTTGTGTTTCTGTTTCTACCCAGATATTTTAGCAACACTCCCCAGGAACATTTTTCATCTGATGTCATACCTTTTTATACGTTCTCCTTTCAATCTATGTAACGTTTATAAAAACAACGTATTCATTACTACACTTGCGATATACTCAATATTCATACATATCGTATACATCGTTGCATCTCGAAATTTCTCGCAAATGCATAAACATTCGGAATCTATTAATAATCATCATAGTCATCTTCCTGTACAATCATGAATATATTAACTGTAATTAACGCTGATTTTCCTTACTTTCGCCATCTTTATATACTTTAGACGCTTTATATACATGTCACATTCGTCTTTTCATTTTGGTCAAAGGAAACGCGCTACAAAGTATAGACAAGCAATTCACGATCGACAAAGTCATGTTCGTACAATGATTGTTACAAGAAACGTGACCCGAGGAGCGAGTAAAAAACAAGTGCCGAAAGTGATGGCGCGAAGAGAGAAAGCGATTTCTATGGATTATAATGAGCGCGGACGGTCTGTTGCTGGGTGTAAATGATTTTATTGCTAAGCGTTATAGCCAGGATTAACGTCCAAGTGATTATTTCATCGGTATCGGTGTTCGGTTTTTATGCGCGATCGATTTCTGTGGGAAAGGCAACGTCGTTTTCGGCGCGGAAACGTTTTCATTGTGGATCGTTACAATGTGCCTGATCGCTGCGAACCGTTGCACAATTAACGATCGATATAACAATCGCAGAGGAACTGGTTAGAGAAAACCATTCGTTTTTGTCCTTAAAAACTCGTTGCCACGTTTCCACGTTGCGATGGAACGATCGGAGGCCGATTCGTGTTCCAACTTCGATCGATTCGGTTTTTCCACTTTCACTTTAATTTGCGTGAAAGTAACGATTGTGTCCGTTCGGCAGTCGTTAATTTTGACGTATTCAGTATTACTGAGCATCGAAGAGTGGCCAAATATATGTTGCTGAACGTTACCTTGAAATGTTTAAGACGTAAATCGATAATAACGCATAACATACAATTTCATTAAAAATATAGGAAATGGAAATCTCCAGTGGTAACAATTTTCGTCTTTCTTCTTTATCAAACGAAATAACTTTCGTATGACAAATATTTTCGCGTATTTAGGAAACGTGTCTTAGTATCTTTATATACCGCTAAATATTCGACCAAATTTTAATCGTGAAATATCCCATCAGAAGAAAGAAAAAAAGATACAACTTTTTTTCGATAACGTTTTCCTATATTGCTCGAAATATTCAAGATGTAGAACGTTCATGATACATCTAAAAAAGTATATAAAAATGTTTAAAATAAAACTGTTATTTTACTACTCTACACAGTCGCGCAATATTCCCTCGTACTTTCCATATTGTCCAGAAAGTTTCCGCAAGCTCCACCTTACCTCATCGTAAAACAACAAAGAAAGAGAGAGAGAAAAAAAATTGTACGTTGCGGTGGAAAAAATGTCCGAGTCAGTGGCAGTGCATCCGGTAGTTCTTGTCAAACAGCTGTCGAACGCGCGGAAAAAGCGCGACGCCGCAACTGTTCGCGTTCACGTTTTT